CTCCCAAGTAGCTGGGACCACAGGCGCCTGCCACAACGCCTGGCTATTTTTTGGTTGCAGCCATTATTGTTGTTTGGCAGGCCGGGCTGGATTCGAACCCGCCACCTTGGGTGTATGTGGCTGGTGCCTTAGCCACTTGAGCCATAGGCGCCAAGCCATAGATTGCTTTTAGTAAGGGACAAGAAGTCTTGTCTTCAGGCTTTGAGTGTGGAGATGTGACTGGCCACTTACACAGAGAACTGAGAATCCTATTTCTCCCATCTGTTCCTTTAGTTTAGCTTGCAGAAATCTGTGCCCTTCAAATAACATCTTTCTCAGTATATTGATGGTGTTATAAATTTATTCCTATTTTTAGATTTCCTTTCATTTTATATTTGGATGCAGAAAAAAGTAAATGTATTTGCATACACCACCATACTGAACCAGAAGTGTAACTCTTAAATATTCTGCTCTTGATTTCAAAGACACTATATTCTTCCCTATTTCATTCAGAAAATGTATCTGTGGGCTGGGCGTGGGGGCTCATGCCTATAAACCTAGCACTCTGGGAGGCCAAGGCAGGTGGACTGCTTGAGCTCATGAATTTGAGACCAGCCTGAGCAAAAGCAAGACCCCGTCTCTACTAAAAATAGAAAAACTAAAGCAAGAGGATCACTTGAACCCAAAAATTGGAGGTTACTGTGAGCTATGATACTACTGCTTTCTATCCAGGGCAACAGTTTGAGACTCTGTCTCAAAAAAAAGAAAAAAAAAGAAAGAAAGAAAATGTATCTGTGATACTGGTGTTCTTCAGGTTCTGTATTGGTTCTCTTCTCATGACAGTCTCCTGTTCACTGTTTATCTTCTACCAATAGTATGCTGATGATGCTTATATAGTATTATTTCTAAACCTCTGTCCTGAGAGTCAAAACTATATAACCAGACTCCAACAAGATAGGGTGATATTATGCTAGGTACATGTTCCCCAGATCCTTCATGCACATGTCCAGGATTTACTTCCTTATTGCCTGCTCATCCTATTCTTTTTTGTTTTTTCCAGTCTGATTATGGCCCCGTTTCCTACCCCTCCACCCCTCCCACCCCGCCCTGTCCACTAAGCTAATGTGAGTTAAATGTCTCTCTTTCACTGCAGAACCATTTAGTGGCAGATGGTGTTTCTCATACCAGGTTCTCTCCATCTCCACTGATACCACCTTTATTTGGGTACCTCTCTTCAAGTGCTCAACCCAGTGCTTAACCCAGTGCTTATTTCTTTTGCGCCTGGCCTGTTTATTGGTTTTGAATGCTAAACAAATACAGTTGTCCTGGGATAAACTCCACTTGGTCATGGTATAATACTTTTGTATATATTGATGAATTTGCTAATAAATTGTTAATGATTCTTTTGTCTGTGGTTCATAATGATTCTTTTGTCTGTGGTTCATAATGGAATTAGTCTATAGTTTTTTTCTATTTGATATTAGGGTAATGCTGGCTCAGCACCTGTGCTCAGTGGTTAGGGCACCAGCCACATGCACTGGGGCTGGTGGGTTCAAACCCTGCCCAGGCCTGCTAAACAACAATGACAACAATAGCCAGGCATTGTGGCGGGCGCCTATAGTCCCACCTACTTGGGAGGCTAAGGCATGAGAATCACTTAAACCCAAGAGTTTGAGGTTACTGTGAGCTATGACACCAGTGCATTCTACTGAAGGTGACATAGTAAGACTCTATCTCCCCTCCAAAAAAAAAATTAGTGTAATGTTGACTCATAAAATTCTTATATTCTCTTCCTCTTAATATTTTATGAAAGAATTTGTATAGCATTGGTATTTCTTCCTTAAACTTTTATTAGAATTCACCAGGGAGACGTCTGAGTTGGAGATTCCTTGTGAAAGATGTTTTTTGTTGTTGTTGTTTTTTTATTAAATCATAGCTGTGTACATTAATGCAGTCATGGGGTACAGTGTGCTGGTTTTATAATTGTGACAGATGTTTAACTGGAGGTTCAATTTCCATAGTAGAATTAGGACTATTCAGATTGTCAATTTTTCTTTTTAAATCAGTGAGCTTTAGTGTGTCTATTAAGGAATTTGTCTATTTTATCTAAATTGTAAAATTTATTGGCATAAAATTGTCCAAAATACACTCTTTTTATCCTTTTGATGTTTGTACAACCTGTTACAATGACCCTTTTTCATTCTTATTATTGGTAATTTGTATCTCTCACTTTTTTCCCTGGCTCATTGGCTAGAGGTTTATCAATTCAGTTGATCTCTTAAAGTACTGTACCAGCTTTTAGTTTCACTGATTTCCACCAGTGTTTTTTGGTTAATTTTATTTATTCATTCATTTATTTATTTTAAGACAACTTCTCACTTTGTTGTCATCGGTTGAGTGCTATGGTGTCATAGCTCACAGCAACCTCAAACTCTTAGACTGAAGTAATTGTCTTGCCTCAGCCTCCTGAGTAGCTGGGATGACAGGTACCCACCACAATGCCTGGCTAGTTTTTCTATTTTTAGTAGAGATAGGTCTTGCTCTTCTCAGGCTGGTCTTGAACTCCTGAGCTCAGGCAATCTGCTGGCCCAGGCCTAGCAGAGTGCTAGGATTACAGGTGTGATCCGCTGTGCCAGGCCCATTTCTTTTTTTTCTAATAAAAGCTTTAAATGCTATAAATGTCCTTGTAAGCACTATATGAATGATTGCCAACAAATTTTGACATGTTGCATTTTTCTTTTCTTTTTTTTAAATATTTCATACTTTATTCCTTGTATTAATAGGTTAAGTAAAATTTTCCCAAATACTGATTTATAGGTAACATTTGTAAGTGGCACACAAAAAGTTCATTTTCACAAAGAGTAACATTCAGTGATTTAAATGCAATTGTAATCTTTATTTTAAGCTAAATGCAGTAATAATTTGATAAGGTACATACACACAAAACCCATATATCCTGAACTACAAAAGCGCTTTCTTTTTTTGTTTGTTTGTTTGTTTGTTTTGTAGAGACAGAGTCTCACTTTATTGCCTTTGGTAGTATCCTATGGCATCACAGCTCACAGCAACCTCCAACTCCTGGGCTTAGGCAATTCTATTGCCTCAGCCTCCTGAGTAGCTGAGGTGCCCGCCACAATGCCCGGCTACTTTTTTGTTGCAGTTTGGCTGGGGCCAGGCTTGAACCCGCCACCTTCAGTATATGGGATTGGTACCCTACCCACTGAGCCACAGGCACCGCCCTACAAAAGCACTTTCCATGGTACTGTCAATCAAATCCATCCCTCTAAATGGTAATTCTCTATTGGTAAAATTTTACCCAGTGTTTTTCTTTTCACGTGGCCCTTTTCTGAGGCAATTAAACCCACATTTTGTTTCATTTTGATTTGAATACAACATAAAAATATAGAGCTAAAAATAAACTGTGTAAGAAAACTAAAAAAAAAAAAGGAGTTTCCATAGACATACAATGTTTTCATCAAGTATGTTTCCACAATGAACAAGTACTTACAAATATGTGAATAAAAAACTACTCTAAATGCTTATTTGCCATTGATGCCGTTAGATTTTTTTTTTTTTTTTTTT